AAGGTCCAAATGCAGATCTCAGGTCCTTGCTGGTTTTTTCCTGCTTCTTAAATGTGTGACTTTTAGGTTTTTAGGTGCCTGAAAATATAATTTCAAATTTGTTCTTTGCTAAGATTTCTGGGTTTTATGTGTAGACTAAACACTAGTTCATCCCATCTCGTAGGTGTTTTTTAAATCCCTGAATGATTCATAGTTCGGAGTTAATTGTCTTAACAAGTAAGTAGACATTCTTTTGAAAATGCTCAGGCAGGAGGACTAGACTAAACATGAGTGGGGGGAAAAGCCAGTGCCCAAAGAAAAACTTTAACAGCCCTTCAGAGAGCCTGGACCAGCTCAAGACCAGTTTAAATGAGTCTGCATCCTTGGAAAAAGCAAAACACAGAGAATATAGAGACGCTGGCTCAAGACTTTTGCACATGTGATGGAAAATTCTTTTTCCTGGTGTTATGTATGTATATATGAATGTATACATATGAATATAAATAAACACAAAACACCAGACTGCATGTTGTTTAGCCTTTATTAAATAATAATAATAATAATCATAATAATAATAATAATAACATTAAAAAAAGAAATTTTTCTGTACAAAGTCTACAAACAACAGTTTGAATAATCTGGCCAGTGCCGTAGGTTTGTGTTGATGTAGTGTACATATGTGTGTCTGTCATTAGTGTGTGTGTGTGTTTGTGTGTGTCCATCGAGACAGAAGAGGTAATACTATGTGGACTTCCAGAAGGAATGAGTGAGTAAAGTCACGCAGGAGGAGAGACAACTTCATGAGTGTGTGTGTCTCATTGTTTCTATAGAACTGTTGTAATATATTCTCTAGTCACTGCTTACAATTCGTGTGTGTGTGTGTGTGTGTGTGTGTGTGACAGAGAGAGTAAGATATCAGTTGGGAGAGAGAAAGAGTGAGAGAGAGCAATCAAGAGAGACATAATGAGAGAGCTCCAAGGCACTTGGAAAACAGTCCAATGAAAACACAGTTAGATGGACAGAAAACTCTCTGTCTCCCTCCATTGTTCCCTTCCTTCATCTCTCTTTCAACACCTTTTACTATTCCCTTCATCTTCTTTGTTTATTTTTTCTTAATAGGCCTCCTGGCTATATCGATGCGTGCCCTTGAAAGAGGAGAGAGGAAGACAGAGAGAAAGAACGGGGGCTGCAGGCAAAGCCTGCGACACGTTCTCCTCCTACACCCCCGTTTCCTCTGCTCTTTGAGATTACACCGTAGAAGATACCAACGTGATATTTCACAGATTCAAAAGAAAATCAAAACCTACTTCCTAGGATTAAAGTTTCATCTGTAAAAGAAAGAGGCGGAGTTCAGCGTTTAGTCCTCCAGTCTGAAGTCGTGTGTGTCTCTCATCGTCCACCTGTCCTCCTCACGCTCATCTTCTATCTTTTATTTTGTTTGCTTTTTACTTTCGCAGTCTTTGAATAAGCTCACATGCACAGAATAACTGGATTGGATATTAATTTAATTAAAGTTGATTTAATGTTCCCAGTTGAAACTTTTTGGATGGATTTTCTTCTATTAAAAAATATTAATTATGCTCAGTAATTTCTTATTCCATACACAAAATAGCACAGGTGAAGTTTGCATTAGAAAAATCTATATTTCTATAAATCTATAATTATTATTATTATATTTCCCCAAACCTTTCTCTGTCTGAACACAAGGTTTGCAGATATATTTAACATCAGTGGGTTTTTTTGTTATGTTAATGATAAAGTAGAGCACTTTTAAAGCCGACCTCGAGTCGGCAGAACTCCAACCAAACATGGTTTCTTTTTTAGAAATGTCAAACAAATTACTGGGCGTTGATTCGGTTAGATATTCATTTGCAGCACTTTCATAAATGATTAAACCTGTGATAGAAGCTGCATCTTTATCCTGCTTTTCACAGGCTGCATCACGAAGTAAAACCTGTGTTTTTTGTCAAATTTGCACGTTTACCTGCTTTTCTTTTGCAGTCTCACTAAATGTTTTGCCACCAATAACATTTCTTTATTTTGTGACTCGATTGCGTGCATTAAATACAAACAAAATAGAAACACAACAGCAGAAACACACCTGGGATGCTATCAGCTGTCGAAGATATCTTTAAGAAAGGCTCAGTTTAGGCTAAATGATCGATTGCTTGGTATTTTTTTTGAATAACACATTTGGCACTTGCATGTAAACACAACCATTTATTTGTCTTTGCCTCTGTCTTCCTCTCTACCTCTGTGTGTGTGTGTGTGTGTGTGCCTCCTCCTGTTTATCAGTCTCTCCAGCAGCACTGGCCCTCCTCGATGGCTGTCCTCCGATACAGCGTATACTGTAGTTAGCTTAAGGCTCGATTGTGTGTCCAAAAAAGTCGACGGTGCGATTTCCGTTCTCCTCCTGTAGTCTTTCTTTCACCTTTCATCTTTGAGCGGCCTTTGTTTAGAAGGGTAAAGTTAAGAGTGGTGGATAAGCGGCGTGACGACTCATCGCTTTTAATCCCCGCAGCCCTACCGTGCACATACAAGGCTCTTTGGCAATCCATAGGTTGCAATAAAACAATCACTGACATTTTGTTCACACAGTGTCTGTCCATCATTTGGGCATCGTACAGTTTGGAAAGCAAAAAAATAGAGATATATACCAAAAACAAACTCTAGAATACTGAATCTAAAGCACGACTCCATAACAGCATGTTAGATTTTGATAAACCTCTGATTTTCTGCCTTACTTTATCTTTCCTCTACTCTTTGTAAAGACTCATAATCTGTAATGGAAAATAGGCCAAAATAGCTAGTAAAGGACTGAAAGAACACTTAAGACCATGGAGTCCAACACGACGCTAAAATAAAAGGCTAAAAAAATGGCATAAGAGCTCTACAGGGCGGCTACGAACTGAAGCTGGCTTTTCTTTACCTTTTTTTCCCAAAGAGACACAAGTCTAAAACAGAACAAAAACAGTCACCATTACTCTTCTATGCCACTGGTTTCACGAAGCGCAGACCGGGGCAGACAAAGGAGCGAGCGAGCGCCATATGGCAGGCTAATGGACGTTAAAAACTCACAGAACTCATATCCAACACTTTCAGAAACAAACCAAAAAAAAGAAAAGAAAATGTCCTTTTTCATACTCCTTTCCTTCTTTGCCATTAGAAATCTAGATCATTTGAGTTGTGTGGTTCAATATCTTTTTAAACTTTTTTTGGAGGGGGGGGGGTTAGGCATTCACTTGATATGTGTTGATTTCAGTCAAAAATGTCCCACTGAACCGACCCACTGGTGCCCTGTGGAACATGCTTCTGCTGTTCGCGCTGAAGTTTCACGTCTGCGTCAGTCACGAGGGCGGATCATCAAATTCCTTTCTTCATCAAGAATCCCAACACTTTAGCCCAGACCGTGCTGCCATTTGTAGTCCAAATGTCCAGACTGTCACAGGTGCTGTAGTCCGTTCTTCTCGATGTCATCCCAGTGGCTCGTGGGTAATATTCAATGGTAGATCAATCATTAATACTCTTTTTTTTTCATTCCTTCATTCAATCACAGGCTTTTAGAATTGAGCAGGCTGTCTCCTGCAGGCAGAGGAGAAAATGGACTATAGGTGGGGGGAGACGGGGGTCACGTGTTCCCCTAGTTTAGGCCTCGTAGCATGTAGGGGAGATAAAGATCACAAGTTCCCACTGGCACATAGACAGTCGGGGAAACTCCGGGTTCACCCCGTTAGACATCAGAGCAAGGGGTTAGCGGGGCATTAGGTAGGGGACACGGGGGTCGAGATTACAGATAGTGCTTCGTTTTCGTATTGTCTGAGAACAAGATGACTTGCGGGGGCTTGCGTCTTCCCCCACCATCACTCTCCAGAGTTCTCCTCTGTGTCCTCATGCCTCTGAGCAGCACCTCTGCTGGTTCATCTTAACTTTATGCTTGATCCCATCGTACAGCTCAAAGTTGTAGTTCTCCAGTGTCGTGGAGGAGCGCGAAGAGAGCCCGCTGTAGGAGCACGTGCAGTAGAGGAGGAATCCTGCGCACACCGCTCCCAGCAGGACACCTAACGAGCTCATCACGATGATGGTGAGGAGGATCGGGTCGAGCGTGTACAGCCAGGCGTTGTCCTTGTCCTTCTCTGACACCAAGGTGACGGAGGGGGGGTCCATGTTGGAGGAGGGGGTGGAGAAGGAGGATGGCCACCCTGGGAACACATAGTCTGGAGAGAAAATAGGAAATCTTAGCAAGCTGATGTATTCAAGACCACAGTTGTTATTGATTAGCAACTTTGGAAAACATAATGCAATTAATTACTTTAAAGGTACGATCTGGTGCATGTGGTGAGCGCTGAAGTGTGCACTCCTACTTAGTAAGGCAATCGGGCTAATCCGAATAATGAATGTGTACACACGAACGAGCCAATCCGCAATTAAGTGCTGCATTTGGAGTGTTTTATGGAAGAACACACTGCAGACAAGCAGGAAAGCTGTAAACAGACAGTAAACAGACTTGTTTAGCGAGCTAAAAGCTGAGTACTCTCATCTTGTTTCTGTCAAGGGGCTGAAAGAAACAAGGAGCAGTGGGCACACACACACACATGTAATCTGTGATTGTTACAGACAGATGTTTTTCTCGGTGCCCAGAAGGAAGCTGTCTGTCTCACTTTGTCTGCCGTGGAACATGAAAGAGGAGGAGGACGAGGAAGAACGCACACCATATGCACACGCAGACATGCGCTTTTGCCAGCTCGCTCACACTCGTCTCCTTTCTTTGCACACACAGCAGAGATTGTCTGTCACCGTTGCCACGGGCTCTTTTCTGGAGGAGCCATAGGCATGCCTGTCCTTAAAGAGCAATTGCACTTGTCTTTGGGTGAGACTTGTAAAACAGCCAGTATAGCCCGAGGCTGCGAGGAGAGAGGAGGATAACCTCACCTTCGTTGATGGGGGGCTTGTGGTTGAAAACAGGATCTTTTTCAAAATCTATTGGCCTGGGATCTGTTAAAGAGACAGAAAGAATAACAGTATTAATCTAAACCGTCTGGAGCTACTCGAGAGTCCTGCCACGATAACGTCGCTCCGTGTCTATGCTGCATTTGTAGATGGGTATCAAACAGCTCAAAGAGTTTAAACTTTCTGAAGAGATCAGGGAAGAAAGCTCTTCCAAACTGTTTTGTCCCGCGCTCGGTCTATCAGCGAAAAACAACATCCAGTCTTACTGAACTCTTCTCCCAGACTACCTGCGCAAAGCCAGCAACTTCCATTATGTGATAAGCATCAGTGCTCTTTTTTTATTTGCTTAGAAATGAAAAGAAAGCTGAGAGGAAAGACGCGAGTGGAGGCTGAAATTTAAAAAAATGAAAACACACAAAACCGTTTCATAGAAAAATATTACCTTTATTACCTTCACATTCACCACAATTTATTTTCTTTTTATTCCAAGACCGTGAAATTCAACAAGCTAAAATACCACTTTAAATGTTCGAGGCAGGCCAGAGTGCAAGGCTTTGGAGGTTTTGAGGGCTCAATTCTTCTTCAGTTTTATTCAAGGAAATTGACAGTCCCCAGAAATAAATGGAGCAATATCTGAGCAGCTGATAATCATTTACTGCCGGAGCAGAGGAATCAAAAACACATTATGAAGTGAAACTGTAATAGATATTCAGAAGATAAAAGGTGAAAAACTCATTTAGAACATATGAAAAAAGCTTCATTTCCTCAATTAGATAAAGTTGTTCGTCTGTGAGACAGTTTTGGCATCTTGCGATTACACCTTCAATAAACTGCATTTACAAACTTTGCATATTTTCTTCAAAGCTTACAGATGAATTCCTTTAAATGACACCTGATGCACCTGAAAGACTGTTTTCTAAAAAAAATTGATTTTCAAACCCAATTAGAGAACAAACTAAAGGAATTAACCAAATTTTAATTTCATTTCAAATATTAAAACGACAAACAAATCCTATGCTAATTGAGTGCATTCAATTAAGCGAACAGCGGAGCGTTTCTAAATGTAGTTATTTGACTGACATCAATATTTAATGTCCTCAAAGTGCATGACATTGAAAGACAACCATCAAATCTTGACAGAGGCAGAGAAAGTGCACAAAAGCAATATAACAGCAATGTGGCTTAGGCCGGGGATGAAGAAGTTTACAGCCTCAAGGCTGATTTTATTCAGGCGGAGCGAGTGAACTAAACTCAGCTTCATCTGAGGCCGTGTTTCAAAATGATCAAGCCTCTCTGCTTCCAACAGATTTACAGAAGAAACATTTAATTCATTAAGAAATAAAAAACAAAGCTATACACTAAAGTAAGATAAAATCTCAACGCGTGGTTGTATCTAAATTTACAATCAAGCTGAAAGCATGAAAGGTTGCAAAACTAAAAAGTGATTAAAGAGAGCGTCGGCAGCAGACTTTAATGAATTAATACTCTCGTGTAATTAGATGTAAAAACAGTGCAGTTATTCAGAAGTTAATGAACCCGGTAGCCGTGCTGTAATTATGTTTTAAAGGTTCCTACTGAAATGCAAAAGACGACACGTCTGTAAATCTGCTGCCTGACTACAAACCCTCCACGCTCTAAGTTCTCCTTTTTCACTGCAAGCATTGACAAAACATTAAATCACTTAAAGAAAGATAAGAAGAAAAAATCAGGATAAAAACCAGAGGTTTGGACGCTCTTTGGATGACTGCTGAACGCTTTCTAATGATCCTGGCTGAAAGCCCTCGGGCGAGGATCCTGAGAAGAATCATCACATGGATCTGAAAGGAGATTAAAACTCCCTGTAGCCCCATTTTATCTCCCTTCTCCAATTAGTAAAGAGAAAAATAAAAAAGGATCTTTTTTATTCAGGAAGAGACAGGGATGGCTCTTTGGCACCATTTGCTGTTCCAGAGGGGCCCGAGGACCTGTTAGAGTGCTTGTACGATAATATTTCCACAGGAGGAGGAAAGAGAGAAAAAATAGAGATGGCCTCAGGGCTAGAAATGCTTACCGCAGGGCTTTATGAATGCAATCAGCTCCATTATCTAATTAGAATTATTAAAAGGCTTCAAAGTAGTCTGTGATGGAGAAGGGAGAGGGAGGGAGGGAGGCTGATTTATCAGGGCCGCATGAAAAGACGCCAGAAACTTGCAAAAGTTCGATAGAGAGTGAGAGAGAGTGCAGGGGAAAAGTGCACGGGTAGCACAACATAAATACACCCGTATATCATTCCTCTATTTAAATCCAGCCCCACATTGATTGGGTTATGGCACAAGGCTGCTAGAATGAGTCATATAATGTGTAAATCATACGCGAGTCGATTGATATGGAAGGGAGAGGGGCTCGGCACACTGAAAATGGATATGCAAGCACAAAATAACTAAAATACTTTTTGACTAAGGCACAAAACAGCATTTTATAAGATGCAGCATGATGAAATAAGCCAATATGGGGAATATCTGCAGTGTGGAAAAAAATGCACGAAACAATGATTTTGATAACGGTGTTTTGAGAGCTTGCAGCAAATCTGGGTTCTTGGCTAATAGAGGTCTGCGGTGGTTAGATGGCGTTTGCTCGTCTGTGTGTGTGTGTGTGTGTGTGCAGTGCACTGAGGCTTCATCACGCTGTCTATTCTGCCAAAAGACTTCTTTCATCTGCTTTTGTGTTTGAAACAACCTGCCCTCCTCCATCTATTCTCTCTCTCCTTCAATCCAAACCACAACCTGCCTCCCTGTTAGCCTCCCTCTTAGAGTAAAAGAAAGATCTATCTTTAGAAAGTATAGAGAGCATTTTTTTCCTTTTACTTCTTTCATCTCCCTCCATCTCTGGGCACATTCTTTGGAGAAAAAGGGGGCTCGCTTAATGGGCCCTTCTCCTCTGAGAGATTTTGCTCCCCTCCATTTCTGCCTCTCATTTTCTCTCCTGTGTTTTTCACTGGGAGGATTTGCAATGAAGGGAAGGAGAAGAACAGGAACAAGTGGGTTTTGATAAAAAGGCTCAGGGATTTGGGCATGAACAAAATGATGTAGGGGGGTAGAGATGCTGTGAAGTCCACTCTGATACACCGTCAGCTTCACAATCTAGATAGATTTTTTCTGACATCAGGTGAACATTCTTCATAAAACACGTTAGTACTTTAGATTTGCTTTATTATGAGCTCCTATCTTATTCAAACTAGAAGCTTTAAAAGAGCTTTCAAAGCTTTCAAAACACTAAATGACACCGAATAGTTTTTTTCATCTCAGTGTGCAGAATCAATATAATTTTTAGTCAGCAAGTATAAAAACAACTATTGTGTGACTCGTGTGCACCAGCAACACAGAAGGACAGAAAGAACATTACTCAATTTATGAAAAGATTCACAGTAAATGTAAGTAAATTAAGAAGAAAAGTGCTCATGTTCTCTATACTGCAAAAATATGAACCCGCTAATCAGAAATGCATCATGTTGCACTTGCTGATTAAATACACAATCAAACTTATAAAAGCAGTCCTGTTAAAATGCCAAGTAAGACCAAGACGAAACATTCAATTCATTTCAATGTTGTTAGTATTCAAACAATAGTCACAGCAAGGTCTTTATATTCAAAAATAAAGACCTACAATAATACAGAGACAACCCCAACAATCAGACACCCCCTATAACCAAGCACCTGGCGACAATGGGAAGGAAAAACTCCCTTTTAACAGGAAGTTACCTCCGGCAGAACCAGGCTGGGGAGGGGCGGGGCCATCTGCCGTGACCGGTTGGGAGTGAGAGCTTTCTTTAATATGACTTGTAACTTGTATAGTTCAATTTAAAAACAAACTGTTAATGTTTCGGAGGGAATAAATAAATAAATAAATAATGAAATAATGTGGTTGCACGTCCTTTTATAACTGGTTTGCATAGAAAATTAACCAGTGACATTCAAAATCATGCCAAACAGTAGGCAGTACACACCTGCCATCGGTTAAAGAGATGCTGACTACAATCAAATAAAGTTCAGCTGGTCTAACACGACTTTTCTGACACTTGCTTAGTTAACACTTTGTTACTGACTAAAAGAGACATAGTTAAGAACCGGGTACCCCTCCAAAGTGGTCAGGGAGGTTGCCAAGAGGCTGACCGTGACGTTAACTACATGTGACAACAATCTCTGCATCCTTCACTTCTTCCATAAGCATGTTCTACGGTCTGAACTCTGTGGCCGCAGTCCAGAAAGTGCCCATCACCAAAACACCACCAGACCCACTGTGAAGCACGGTGATGGCAGCATCATGGTTTGGAGCCATTTTTCTTCAGCTGGCACTGGGGAGCTTAAATAAATAGTAGTCAAGGTGTAGGGAATAAAGAACAGTCTCAAATACCAACCAACGTTGGTGCAAAACCTTCAGGTGTCTGCTAGAAAGTTCTAGATCGATATGAATTTCACCAAGTCATCAAAAATATCCTCACCAGAAAAGTTGAACCCAAAAGAAAACCTGTGGGGTGACCTGAGGAGGACTGTGCACAGGCGACACCCTCACAACCCGACCGGTTTGGAGAGGGTCAATAATGTTAATTTACGATGTGCCATGCTGACAGAGTACTACCTCCAAAATGCTGTGTAATGCAACCAGCTTACTTTAAATGTGAGATTTCCCTCCTTTTAAGGATTTTAGTTTGTTTTCCATGTGAACTGTACAGGATAAACTGTCGGTCACATTAAAGATGGAAAATGTTGGAAATTATTTATCTCGGTCTCAATAAAACCTGAAATTTTAACAGGTGTGTCGACTTTTTCTATCCACTACACAGACCATCATTGCAGTGAGTGACAGATGCCGATTAGGGGTGTAACAGTTCAGAAGCAGACGCTAAATTTGCGATACATCCACGGCCTCGTTCGCTAGACCTCACCGCCGCTGCGCTCTCGTCTTGTTATTGATACGATATGGAGATGATGTGAAAGTTAAGTGCATCAACTCAGTGCAAGACTGTAAATACAGACAGACCATACGTGACAGCCGTGGCAGACAGACACAGGGATCTCCTCATCATTGCTGCTAACTGCAGGGTCACGTCTGGTACATTAGCCAAGCTTGTAAAATCCAGTTTAAATGAGCGTCTGTTTACTGGAGCATTTTTGTGTTAGTATAAACAGCATGCGTTTGCAAATATGGGATGAATATTAGCAGCTGACAGATAGATTTTGCATCCTGTAATGATGTGCTAATTAGACATGACTTTGTATTGCTTATGATAGCTGGTCATGTGGAGCTGATAATACCTGGTTAAAAGCAGCTGTTACCTACAGGAGAGGATTAGGGCCACTGAAGTTGAAAAAGTGACGACCCAAAAATATTTTCCTCAGTGGCCCTAATCCTCCCGTCCAGTGATGTCCTGTGGAGGTAGGTAATTGTGTCAAAAACCTGTTTTCTGCTTTTTCTCGTTAATTCAAAAGAAACATGAACTGTACCGTGGATCTGGAGAATCGTTACACCCCTAACAGAAAATACATAAATAAAAAGTTACATTGTTGCTGCTCTAGAATCAGTCTGCAGTCTTTAAGCAGATAAATGGTTTTCCAAAAGGCTTCAGTTGTAAAATGCTCTTTATCAAAGCAAGTTTGGTCTCATTTATTGGACTGGATACCAGTGTTGGATGTGTTAGAAACAAAAAAAACCATTGGTAATTATGTGCAGAAAATAAAGACTGTTTGTAGATTGTTGTATTTGCAGAGATTTAAGAAAAACAATATTCCACATTCAAATGATGCACAATAGTACTTCTTTTCTTTTTGTTTCATTTACCCAACCTAATGTGTGCAAGACATACACGGGTGTTTCGTTTGAACATTGACAGACACAGGCATCAGATTATCCATGAGATCCAGGCAACAAACTGTAGAGTCAAACTGCATCCATTCAGACTCTTACTGGACACAGAGGCACTACCTCATATCGGAGGTTATAGGTTTAAAGCACTTTTTTTAAAAAGGCATATCCAGAATGTAATGAAAAACACACTCAAAGTAACATGTGAGACTTGAAAATCTCAGAAGTGTCCGTGCATATATTGGTGCGCGTGTTTCAGCTGATGTGATGCGACGTAAGCCATCTCAGAGCTGCAGGGTGGATGTGCAGCTGTCTATCTGTCACAGCTGGACGGGCAACACTAATTCTTCCTTTCTTCCTGTTTTTTTGTTATTAATCTGTTTCTGTCACTATCTCAGTCTCGCAAACATACGTGGGCAAATAAAATTGGGCTTCATTCAGTCCCGGAGAAGCAGCCATCACTCTTAATGCTGCACACAAACACAGCGTGTCTTTTCTACCTGTGTGTAAATCCTTCCTCTGTCTGACGGGTATCTGGAGACAGGCAATGTCCAAGCTGCAGATCAGAGCGGGGCAGACAGACAGATCCTGCTCTGACATTTACTGAAGGTGGGGGATATGCTGTTACAACCCTGACATTGTACGCTGCATGTAAATGCAGTGTGTGTCATCCACAGCCTGTTATTCATACTACCTTTACTGTGATTTACTGTGGTCATAATCCAGCTCGCTGTCAGGGTTCAGGTATAGAAGCCAGTCTACGCTCGACATCAAAAAAATTGCCCTACAGTGTCGTTATCAGGCCCTCTTCAGCCATCAGAAATACAACTGAAGCTCTGTCATCTGCTCTTCAGGGGTACAGTTTAATGTCAGGACTTCTTTCTACCAGTTTAGTGTACGCCGATCAGTTAATTAGATCAGTCGTCAGCAACGTGCACTGGAGTGCCTCTGTGCAGATCCTCATCAGTGAAGAGCAGTGATTATGCTGAATACGGCTTCTTTTCACACCCCTTGATCGCTTCATTTAAAAAAAACATACTATTAAATCAGACGAGCCTTTTCAACACTGGGAATCGTAGCTGTCCTCTTTCTCCAGTGATACGGTGAGCATGGGTTCCAGACTCGGCCCGGTGCTTGGGTTCAGGTTGTTTTGGTTAGGGCTATGGATCAGATTACAGCCTGGGTTTTGGCTCTGGTACCAGTTTTGGTGACCTTGCTGATATGGCAGTTGGTTGTTGCGGTACGTCACCGAATGATGATGACTACTGCTGGTCTTCTTGGTCGCCCAGTGGTACCGGTGGCAGCACAGTATCACCAGCACGGTTATACTGACCAGCACCAAGAGGGCACCGCCTCCCGCCAACACATAGTACCAGAAGGCAGGGACTGGCTGCACCACCACTGTGTCTACTGTGGGCTCCATTCCAGATATGGCACCCCCTGGAGGGCAGGAGGACACATTACTGGTTGGCTCAGTAGATGAGCAAGGCAGGCATGCAGACTGCATTAAAGAGTTCAGATTTAGAGATCTATGTTCACGTCACCCCTGTCAGAGTGTGAGCATGGCAGGTCTGTCAAGCTCTGAGCGTCTCCACACACTGAAGCATGCTGCTGCAGTAAAAGTGACACTTTTTTTCAAACATTATAACTTCAAACTGCAACACTAACATGCTTGGCTAACTTCCCTATTAATAATAATGAGTTTTATTTAAGGCAAACACACTTTGTTCTGTTAATAAACTAAATATATTAGTTTGGCTATCAGCTCACGTATGCTAATAATCGTTTATGTTAGAAAAGCCTCCTTATCATAATTAACAATATTAAAACTAGAATGACTGTTTAGTTGGACTCTAATTTGTGGTTTCGTTCCTAATTCTACTTGGACAGAATTTTCCACCTGGACCCTGAAAAGGCTTCTGAATGTGGCCGAAATACCTTCTTAAAAAAGATGGCAGCGTTTGATATATTCTTTATTTGCACATCTTTCACATCTATAATTAAGGTGTGAGAATCCAGACTGTTTGTAAGGGGAAATTTAGCTTATTATATCCATATTTAAAATGTGTTTTGCAGCACTTTAAAAGAATTAATTACGAAAACTATGAGCATTCAAAGTCTTCTGAGGACTGAAGCAGAACATTTTTGCTTATTCAGCTTTAATTAGAGCTAATTTATTATAGTGTTTGCCTAAAATCATTGTAAACTTGGAGAGAACAAAGAGCTTGACAGACCTAACAACAGAAGCAGGGGTCATTTACTCTACAGCGCAGTGTGCCGAAACTCTCGTGCTCGCCGCTATTTAAAGGTAAGAAAATAAATCAGGCAAAAACCACTTTAGCTTTAACATTTTGCTGTGTGTTAATATTTAAACAACCAATTAAAGGCTTCATTTCTTATAAAATATTTAACTTACTGTAACTCTTCTCTCTCTTTTTTTGATTTATGCAAACATCACAAGCATTAGCTGCACATTGACACGCAAAGGCCCATGCCATGCGTTCAGATTGGATCAGAGAATGCAAAGCCTTGATTATGCAGTGCTTGGGCGACTTGAACAAAGGGCGGGGAGTGGGTGTATTTGCTGGGATGCGGCATTTTTATTGGGGCAAGATCAGACCGAATTTGAGTGCGGAGAGAAAGAGATGGAGATGGAGAGGGGGAAATTACAGGGGCAGAGAAAGGATAAGAAAGAAGGCATTATTGGAGGAAAGAATGGAGTGAAATAGAGAGGGGTGGTAGAAAGTGAGAGGAGAGAGGGTGCAAGGGTGGGGAAGAGAAGGCAGGGCGCTAATCCTGCCATGATATCTTTAATCCTGCATTAAAGGGTTTGTCTGAAAGTTCAATACTCTGTCAACTCGCAGTGAAAGAAACCCGCTGAGAGAGAGGTTATAGAAGAGAGAGAGAGAGAGAAAGGAAAGGGGGAGAATAAAGGAAAGACGGTGCATGAGCAAGAAAGACAGGAAGGAAAAAAGAGGAAATAGAACTGAGGCGAGCGAGGACTAGATGGGATGAGAGAGAAGGAGAAAAAAGAGCTGAAATAAGAGATGGAGGAGATTTGCAAAGCAGGATACAAAACCTCACGGAACCAGTAAGCTTAATTTAGTCTTTTTTTGAAGTTCAGACGCACTCTTTAAGGGTTTAAAATTGGCTGTGATTGTAAAGCTGCGCTGCACGGAGAGTCTTCCCACCGGTGGATTAACTGACAAATAATTTCCAGGGCTGAAAAAGTTGACCGTTACTTTGCTTTTTGAGGTAGCAAAGGGGAACGGCTGCTAAAGCTAAAACGTGTAGCTTTCAAGGGATGTTTGGTAACTAGAGCTTCTGCATCACTTAATTAGCATCAAAGCCGGCCTCTCACTTCACAAAAAAAACCAGAAAACCAGAGTAAGCCCCTTTTCTCTGTGTAGACGCACGAGTGTGTGTGCAATAATCAACCTATGGCTTTCAACAGACACTTTCAAATGTTTCTGCGAGTGTCTTCTTAACATCAAACTTTTTCTAAATATATGTATATATATTTTTACTGTACGTTTTAATCCACCGGAAAGATTTTATAGTAAAAAACTTGCAGTCTGTCTGGACTATAATCAAATATGAGTGCTGCCAAATCAGCGTCTGACCAAATGCGATTTGTCACCATCTCCCCTTCTGTTCCTGAGTTATGGTTGCCATGTAATGACCACAAAAGTGTTTTTGCACAACATTATGATGTCACAGTGAAGCTGACCTTTGTCCTTTTGGATATAAAGTATCGCCACTTTGTCATTTTATCCCATTAGACCTTTGTGTGAAATTTTGTAATAATTAGCATGTGACCTCTGAAGTCATGGCCAAAAGCTTGGTTTGTAAGGTGATCTTGACCTTTGACCACCAACATATAATCAGTTAACCTTTGAGTTCAAGACACAAATTTGAGGTATCAAATCACCGGACTGGCACAGATGGACAACCTGACAGCGTCTGACAGCGCGGCGTTGCCTTCACGGAGCCGACTGAGGCGTTTCACTGAGGCGTTTAGGAAAATCGCTGGTTGCTTATGAGTGCACTGAGTGTTTTTGCATCTGGTGACTGCTTGCAGCAGTACCCACAGGTCACCTGGCGGGGAGCAACCAATCAAACAATCACTGCGACTGCAGTCACTCTGCGAATGACTGGCAAATGTTTGCTGATATTTGCCGTCTTATTTATGAAGAAGTTTCTTTGAAGATGGCATCTGACTGCTGGTGGTCTCAGAGCTGCAACAGTTTCAAAGGTAACAAGACTGTAAGTTCATATAGTGCAATCATTTTGATTGTGCCGGAGTTTCCTGTTTTCCTTAGTGTGGAGTTAAAATCAATTAAGAAATTCCGATTAAGCCTTCGTCACTACTTCCTTTTAACAGAAGCTTTCCGTGACAGCATGAATATTTCTCACAGTCAACTTTAAAACTGTCAAAAACAACTACGCTTTGTTTGTCTCACATCGAGACACTAAGAAGAATAAACAATACCTGAGGTGTAACTTTATCTGCCCAGAGAGAAACCCTAAAGGGGCTGAGATCACTTCTTAAAAGGAGAAATTTAATCCTTCTTTCTGGGGGTCAGGATCAAGAAACATGGTGTTTGTCAGAACCAGCAGCGTTGTCATGCTGGGAGTCACATGACAGTTTAAGATAAAGCGAGGATTAGGTCAAATACTCGGGGTATGAGTCAGGTGATGTGAATTTTCTGAACTTGTCTCCTGGGTTTCACTGGTGCTTGGATGTCTTTGTATTTTCATTTAATGTGCTGGACAACAAGAAGTGCTTCTCAGAGTTCACACTGTGTTCATAGTTTACACACACACACACACACACACACACACACACACACACACACACACACACACACAAACAGAAATATTTGAGGAAAATAAAAGTCCTCTGGTTTAAGCCTCAGCCTTCGACGAACCAAATCACCAAAAAGCCTTTATATTATTATAAAGTTTTGTTAGCATGAGGTAGAATCCGAAGTCCAGTTTCCATATGCAAGTCTTCAAAGAGACCAGTATGTGTATTTTGTGGGCGTCTAAACAAAAGCACAAACAGCTGGTGGTTTAGGTCCCAACCCAGACTTCGAAAACAAGAGATCCAGTAGCACAATCGCTCTAAAACTTTTTATCGTTTTTCAGACTGGCCTATTTCTGGATGAATGAGAGGGAAAAAAGGAAAGTTGGGTGTGATGTGCTCTGCATTTCATGTAAGTGGGATCAGGGACAAGAGGAGAGGGGATGGCAGGGAAAGGAGAAGGAAAGACAAAATGAGGCGTAAATGAGTGTGGACCAGGAGCAGCTGGATGTGCAGGGAAAGAGGATGCTAAGCTGTTGAAATTGAATCAGGATAAAGGAAACTATGATGGGAAAGACTGATTATGAAGACAAATATGGATGGACTGATAAAAAGCTCTGTAATTTCACTGACACCAAAGAAACAGACCAGAAGGAGCAATTTAACCCTGACCCTGTGATTTAACCTTTATCCCTACATCATCTGATAAATTGTTTATGGTATAAAATGAAACCTGAGTAAGAATTAAAAACCGTAACAAATATGGTTCAGTGCACTGCTCATATTTGAAACACCCTCTGTTACAGCTGCACATTGTTACTAGTCAAGTGTTACTGTTGCAGTATGTATTCATGTGCGTGTTTGTTTGTGTGAAGGCAAAAATATAGATTTTTACTTAAAAAAAAAACTACAAAATCAGGTGTTTCAGCCCAGCATGCAAGGAGTCATGCCAGAAAAATGCAGTGGATCCATCCTGCAAACCTGTCCCCTCACAAAGCCCGCTCCACTCTGGTTTTGTACATGTGCTACTAAAAGAAGTACTGCACATGTGCAGTGATGCACAGTCATACCTCAAACTTTACCCCCTATCTAGTTAACAGTGTGTGCTGTGGAAGCCTGTATGGTAATAAGGCACTAACAGGGTTTGCAGTGCTGCAAGCTGAGCTAAGCAACAAAGCAGGAAGCACAGACATGTTGGCACAGGAAGTACAAATGCATGTGAAGTAGAACTTACTTTTCAGGCCAGGAAGTAAAGCATGCAAAGGCTCTGGAAAAGAAAGGAAAAAACAAATGTTAGTGAAGCTAAGTTAGACGATTAGCAAGAGTAAATGTGAAAGGATATGTGTCACCCATGGCGTTGGAAGCTTCCTTCACAATATGAAATGCAATAAAATAACAACAAATGTCCTCAGCTTATATTATATATGATTACATTTATATGGTGCTGATAGTTTTAATGAATGTCAACACAAATGTTTTTTAATAGAGTTGCAAAATTGCACCGCAGTCCTGGTTAAGGCGTTTGTAACTCAATAAAGCTTTGTCGAGTTCAGAGGTAGTTTAAGACTCCAAAGGCCCATATATCCTCCAGGATGACAGTTATTTTTACAAAATGGAAAGAAAATAAAAAGAGCCAGACAAGAGGGAAGGAAGAGGGAAAGTGACTCTTGTTATGTCTGTCATTTCTCACCTTCTCTTTGCTTTGTCATTCTCTCTCTCCGATTGCTCTTTTTTTTTTAAAGTTTTTTTCTACAGCGTTTTCATCCTCTTTCTTTCCTTCGGGATTTTAACGGCAGAAGAAAAAGATAAACGGAAAACAGGGTGAAAAGGGTGAGGGGCAGAGTGACGAGAAGGGAAATTGAGGAATGAAGAGGAAGGGTGGAGGTAAGTTAAGGGGTCGTGGGAAGACGGACTGAATTTTACTGCTGTTTATTATTTGCTGGAGGACGTGGCATCTTTTATGAAAGTGAGAAAGAGTGAGAGAACGGAAAAAGAAGGGGAAACTAGTTACAGCACAGATAAAGAAGCAGTAGTGAGAAAACTAGCGTCTTTGACTCACAGAAACATTTGACTTAAAGGTGTACTAATGCACTACAAAGGCAAATATATTCTGACTGGTCCTAAAGTCAAGCTTGAAAAAATGCCCATAATACAACTCATTTCTGCCTTTAAATCTTTTTACAATAAAAACAAAGTTGTTTCTGAACCAAGGCTCACATACATTTTTGTGAAATCAAGAAATATGAAGGACTTCAAACTTAACCCAGCGTGTGGAGTGCATGGAAATTTGCCCTTTTTTCTCTGCAAAGCAAATTGTTACAAGTGAGCTGACAGCAGTCGCTGACAGCAGCCTCATTGGTTAACTACTGTCTCTCTGCTCCAAAGTAGAGAGTCTCTCCAGTAATCAAGCACAAGCACGCACGTTATTTTCAGTGCTCGACTGCAGAGACTGAACGGAAGATAATGCTGGAGATGGATAAAGCGAGAGCAAATAAGGAAACAGCAGGATGGGGTGGTACAGGGAAAGACTAGGAGATAGTGGGAGATATAATAAAAGATAGTGAAGGATCCATGGCCAAAGGGCAGTTGTGACCTACTTTCTTTTTTTGCGCTTCACTTTTTTGATGTGTGTGTGTGTGTGTGTAAATGAGAAATATTATGATTTTTTTCTCCCCCATCACTCTCGCTCTCTGGCGAAAACACAGAATAAATGTTCCGGTGTGAAGCAGGGAGAGAGTGATAGCTGACAGACGGAAACACTGACCAGCATATTAATGAAGGTGCCAACAGGTGAAGGGGACTTACGTGCACACTGCTCCAGGTCAGCGCTGCTGCTCATGTGGATGTTGTCTATTCTGATATGTCCTCTTGTCGGGTGTTCAAAAAACCCCTCAAACACCACCTACACCGGAGAAAGTGACATACAGGTGATCACAGCTCAGCTTATGTGTTAGCTTCTTAATTCAGGGATTCATAAACACACTAACACTCAGCGGTTATCTACCTGATATTCTCTGGGGCTTCGAGGAAGGATGGTGCGCCCCTCTTTCCAGTGACTGCCTTGGTCACCTTTTAATGCCCATAACAGCGTCTCTCCCTGGTCGCTGTCCTTCAGCAGGACCCTCAGGCTGCCCTGTGCCTCTCCCTGGAGCTGGTAGTAGAACTGGAGGCAGAGCGGGCCTTGCTCTGGCCCCACTTCGGGGCTCAGCAGCCGGGCTTTCTTGCGCAGGGTGTGGCTTCCGGCATCGAGATGAAGGTAGTTCCCTGAAAAATCTGAAAGAGGCCAAAAAGTTGTGCTGGTTATGATACCGATGTAAACTTGGTAATTCATTTCACACTAATGGGTTGTAATAAAAGATAAATTAGCAGCCTTTAAACTGACACATCATTACTCTTCTTAGCACAACATGACACCACATGTATGGCTTTCTGCGTGCTATTTGCATTTTATTCATTAACTGGATCCCAGTTTAATGTATTTTATGATTTGTGACAGTGCTGTGTAGTAATGCAGCAGGATGTGGTTGTTTACAGTTTAAGGCATTACTGCCATCATTCTGTGGTATGGGGCTTAACTGCAAATGAGACTGCCATTTCATCATGGCTGCTAATGGCTATGGATACAAATGAACACACACACACATGCACACAGCTCTAGACTAAACAGCCCTAATCATTCTGAATGCTGACACCTCATTCTGCTGCTCTCCATGTTTTTGCTACACTTAGTCAGCACAGCCGTCGTACCGACGCCGTCACGATGCCTGTGCGCGTGCGGTGTGTATCTGCGTGTGACTGCTTCCTCTACACACAATCACTCACTCAGGGTTTTTTTTTTTTTCAAATTCACCTTCTTTCTCTGCACTCGACCCAAAGACGGGATAGAAAGACGAGGAGAAAGCAAAGAGGCTGAAGGGAAGAGAGAATAAGAAAATAACAAAGAGTGAGAGAAAAAAGGCTGCGCTACAGTGTTTTCCTCCCATTCTGAACACAAGCATAATCATTAGCTTGCTGCTGTGTTTGGCTGTTTGTCTACTATGGCTGGAGAGTAAAAGCTTCGGTGGAGCTGCAAATAGCCTTTTTATCGACAGCCCGAAACTGTGTGTGACACTTC